CCCTACAGTACCCAGTGACAAGTTTGCAGCAGGAAGCCCTGTTAACTTGCACTAAGAACACATGAAGTAAGCCCTACCAAAGAGGCAGAGGACTGTAGCTTTCACAAGTGCAGATCTTGATTTAAAACCTAAGGTGGAGCCAGGGGTTGACCGTGACCTCTTAATTCAAAGACGACTCTGAACTGCTTTGCATTTTACGTGTTAACCGGAGCTAGAAGTCTTCACCAGGGAGAAAGGGAAGGCCTTCACCACTAAGAACACATGAAGTAAGCCCTACCAAAGAGGCAGAGGACTGTAGCTTTCACAAGTGCAGATCTTGATTTAAAACCTAAGGTGGAGCCAGGGGTTGACCGTGACCTCTTAATTCAAAGACGACTCTGAACTGCTTTGCATTTTACGTGTTAACCGGAGCTAGAAGTCTTCACCAGGGAGAAAGGGAAGGCCTTCACCTATGCAACCTTAGGGGCCTAATGTAGGTTCTAGTGGCCCATGCTTGAAATGTTTGTGCCAAGGTATAGCTAAGGCTGCAGTTAATTCTCTTCCTCCTAATACCTGGTCACTCCCCTACTGGGGGTCTAGTCCCCAGGGGCACTATGATGCCTGTTTCCACCCATGCAATGGTGCTTGGATGTTGGCTCCTCCAAGAGCCACGCCCCTGCAGAAGGTAAGCAAGCAGTTATCAGAGAGCTGTAGAAAAGCTAGGCCATTTCAGATCTTTATTGAAGACAGTTTAAAAGTCATTGAGCTGCATTCCAACACACCCAACTAGTCCATTCCGGGGGTGAGGAGGGGACAGCCCACAAAGCAGGGCGGGGAGCTGGAATTACAAAAAATTTACAACAGGTAACCATGAGTCACTGCACTTGCAGGAGCGGGTTCTACTCCCATGACCCCTGCATGGAATATCCCAGCTGCCATCTTCAATACCACCCTCAGGACAGCTTGTGACAGTATCAAACAGGCCCCTGCCCAGTGGCAAGTCCTTCCCCAGCACTTCTGGCTGTCCCAGATGCACCCCCATCACCAGACTCCATTGCAGCAACAAGTAGCGTCCGACAGCCCAGCAAGCTGCATACAGCCCAGTGACAATGAAACGTACTGAGTGCCCGGTGGTCAGGAGTCCCTGGGCATGGCAATACCAGGGGCTCCCGTGCTGCACAGCACTGCTCCTCCTCGACTTCCAGCTGGCAGCCTCTCCCAGACAGAGGCAGTTCTCTCCTTTCTTCTCAGCAGCGGAAGGGCCACCAGTGTCCATCCAGTCGTGGAATAAGCAAGCGCTATCCCAGCTCAAGCTCCCAGGTCCCTACAGCGAGCTGCTGACTCACCTGCTCGCTGGCTCCTCCACAGTCCCCAACATCTTGGCTCGGATTTTTTTCCGCTGTTTCTTGATGGTGGATTTCATGGCATCCAACAGGAGGCCTGGGATTCGCTCCTCATTTAGCAACTCCCTGGGGAAACAAACCAGCCAGTGCACAAAGGTCTAGGAGACACCAGGCCACACAGCCTCCTGGGAGCAGGAAAGGCACATACCACAACTCAAGTGGCTTCCCCAAGGCTCTCAGTCTTAAGCAGAGACAGGAACAGTCACCCCTTCCCTGAGAGCTCCTCAATCCTGGCAACAAGGAATTCAGTCCCAGACAGGCTATCCTGTAGTAACCCCCTCAGCCCAGACAGGCAAAGATCACAGGCAGGGTGCAATGAGACAGACTAGCACACCCTCTGCCCCGGAAAGCAAAAGGCAGAAAGGCAAGGTTTTAAGGACTCCAGAGACCTAAACCGAGACCATCTACAGCTATATAATTCATCTCTGCCATGGGTGGGAGTGGGGCATACAAACCCAAAGGTACCAGCCTGCTGGATGAAGCAAAGGGAAGGGTCAATCCTTCCTCTCCCCGGGACCTGGATCTACTTGTCCAGCAGGATGTCAACGTGTAGTCAGGCCTTCTATGCCTAGGCTTATCGGCTTATCAGATAATCTAGTCGCCCATCACCGCATCACCTTTGTATCAGAGGCAGCAGTGGGCGGGAAGAAGCAGGAGCCGGTGCCCTCGCACTGCTGCCTAGGAGAGGCAGGCCAAGATCCCTGTGGACAGAGACTGCTCCTCATCCCATGGAGCAGCCCATCTGTAGGAGGTCTGAGCATCCCACAGAGCAGCCTGGACCCGCCGCAGGCAGAAGCTGCTTCACGGCAGCACCTCCTGTCCACGGGGGATCTGAGGGCCCTGCGGGCCCTCCAAACAGAGGCTGTTTGGCATCCCATAGAGCAGCCTCTATCTGTGGGGAGCTCTGATCCCCCTATCAGAAGCAGCAGCGCAGGGCAGCAGGCAGGCAGCCAGTCAGTCAGGTTTTTAAACTAGCTCCCCTCATGAACTAGCTCAACCTGCCACCTCGCATTGCTGCCTCTGATACAGTGGCAGCAGTGCACGGTGGCAGGGGGCTCCCCGGGACTACTGAGTACTCATGTAACCGATAATACCTTGTGCAGTTACACAACAATTCAATTACAGTGTATGTTACAACCCTCTCAAGGCAGCCTTGCATCAAATGTCATGCTCCTGATGGGAATCCAGCCAGCATGATGCCAACTCCCTGCCTGCTGCAATGCTCACCGTTGGTAATAGGCCAGCTCCTCCTGCACCAAGAACAGACTGGTCTTGAGCTCATTGCGCTCCTGCAGGATCTGCTGCAATTCTTCTTTAGAGAAGGAGCTCTGAGCAGAGTTCCTCCCACAGTCTGGGTGTTGCAGCTCCTCCCCGGGTGATGCTGCGCCATCCTAGGGATTCAAAGAGAAGGAAAAGCTGAGCAAACGCTGGGAAGACAGGTGGGTCACTGCAAAACCCCTGGCAGCCCCCTTGCTACCAACAAGGTACAAGCCAAGTGAGGAAGCTTGCCTAAGATGTTCTGGGTGCAAGGGAGATGCCACTGCTGAGAAGACAGTCAGTTGCAGACTTGGGAGCATATGCATGATGAATTCCTCCTATAACCATTAGCTAGCTAACATATCCAGCTGGACATCATTAGCTAGCTTGTATCATAGAATCCTAGAATTAGAAAGGACTTTGAGATGTCACTGAGTCCAGTCCCCTGTCCTCACAGCAGGACCAAGCACCATCTAGATCATCCCTGACAGGTGTCTGTTCATCCTGCTCTTAAATATTTCCAGTGACAGATTCCACAACCTCCCCAGGCAATTTGTTCCAGCGCTTAACCACCCTGACAGGTGGGAAGTTTCTCCTGATGTCCAACCTAAACCTCCCTTGCTACAATTTAAGCCCACTGCTTCTTATCCAATCCTCAGAGGCCAAGGAGAACAATTTTTCTCCCTCCTCCTTGTGACACTATTTTAAATACTTGAAAACTGCTGTCATGTCCCCTCTCAATCCTCTCTTTTGTAACTAAACAATCCCAATTCTTTCAGTCTTCCCTCATAGCTCATGTTTTCTAGACCTTTAATCATTTTTGTTGCTCTTCTCTGGACCTTCTCTAATTTCACCACATCTTTCTTGAAATGTGGTGCCCAGAATTGGACACAATACTCCAATTGAGGCCTAATCAGTGCAGAGTAGAGTGGAAGAATCATTTCTCATGTCTTACAACACTCCTATTAATGCATCCCAGAATCATGTTTGTTTTTTTGCAAGTGTCACACTGTTGGCTCGTGTTTAACTTGTGGTCCACTATGATCCCTTTCTGCAGTACTACTTCCTAGACAGTTGCTTCCCATTCTGTATGTGTGAAACAAATTGTTCCCTCCTAAGTGGAGTAGTTTCCATTTGCCCTTATTAAACGTCACTCTGTTTACCTCGGGCCATTTCTCCAGTGTGTCCAGATCATTTTGAATTTTGACCCTCTTCTAAAGCACTTGATACCAAGATGAGAGGGATTGCATCTGAAAACTTAATAATCATACTCTCTATGCCATCATAAAATTTTTGATTAAGATGATGAACAGAATCAGTACCAAAACAGACCCCTGTGGAACCCCACTTATGCCCTTCCATCATGACTGTGAACCATGAATAACTACTCTGAGAATGGTTATCCAGCCAGTTATGCACCCACCGTATAGTAGCCCCATCTCGGTTGCATTTCCCTAGTTTATTAATAAAGTCATGCAAGACCATGTCAAATGCCTTACTAAAGTCTAAGTATACCATGTCCACTGCTTCTCCCTTATCCACAAGGCTTGTTAACCTATCAAAGAAAGCTATCAGATTGGTCTGACATGATTTGCTCTTTACAAATCCATGCTGGCTGTTCCCTATCACCTTATCTTCCAGATGGATTCCTTGCTTACTTGCTCCATTATCTTCCCTGGCACAGAAATTAAACTGACTGGTCTGTAGTTTCCTGGATTGTTCTTATTTCCCTTTTTATAGGTGGGCACTAGATTTGCCCTTTTCCAGTCTTCTGCAATCTCTCCCAACTTCCATGCTGTTGCTACACTTCAAAGGCGAAAGTGCTGCAGGGAGCACTGGACCAGCAGGGGACTCAAGCAGTCCCCCTCTGGCTCCATGTTCCCTGTGATGTTTCAAAGCAGCAGCGCCGCATGGAGCTCAGGGTTAGCAGGGACGTCCCCAGCTGACCCCAGGCTCCATGCAGAACTGCCACTTTGAAACACTGCTAGTGGCCCGAGGCCAGCTGGGGACTCCGAGTTGCATGCAGCATTTTAAAGCAGCACCATGTGCAGCCCAGAGTCTGGCCCCAGGCTGCTTTGAAGCACCCCTTCCTCCCCCCCTGCCTATTTCTGATAGAGGCAGGGCGGGGGGGGGGGGGGGTGGGTGTGGCTGT